GACCACCTGCACAGGCAGGTTGGAAATGAGATGCAGGTGATCAGCAACAAGAGACCGGCACACCTCTAATATATATAAATTTATAAAGTCATTAAACAACTCAATTAACATCAATTTAGGAATCAGAAGTTCAGCCTCTTTTCTGAATACATTTTATTAAATTTTTTATGTTCTCAGAACTGCCTAGTTCAAAGTGAAAATATGTTACTTAGGTTGTGCGGTATTATCCAGACATTTTGCTTTAACATGTCCGTTTCCTTAATCGTAGCTGCTGGTCCAGGCCGACGATGACAGAGGCAACGAGACTCACCTGAAACACGTGACCCAGCGGATCGCCATGTCCCAGTTCCGCTGCTTCCAAAGGATAGCAAGAGGATCTAATCGCAAAATTAACAGTAATGGTGAGCGATGGAAACGCTGCGTTTGGGAAGGGGTCGGGTTGAAAAAGCCTCTTCGATAAGGGACGACTTTCTAATTTATGTGAAAAATGGACATTTAAAACTATGCTTTTTTCCCCCTTTTCTGGGAGTGCAGTAAACTACTGCAATGCAACATGGGATGGATGGCTGTGTTGGGAAGACACTGAACCTGGAACGACAGAGCAGAACTGTCCGGACTACTTCAAGGATTTTGACACACGAGGTGAATTTCTCTGGTCCTGTAGGAAACACACATTTTCAGATTGAGGGAAAAGTTATGAAAAATTAAGATTGATTGAATAATCGATAGTAAACGGCCCGCCTTGTTTTTGTGTTGTGAAATGTCAAAAGTTGACAGGAAATTCAATAATATGACATTCAGTAGTATGACATATACTTGACAATAACTAAAAACACAACTATGCTTAAGAGTCTTAAAAAACATAATTGAAACTATTAATTTGTTACATCCTAGGAATCAACTATTGGTTTGGATTTAATACATGATCCTGTATACAGGAAATATTTATGGAGGCTCCTATATTTACAAAACAGACCCCCAAAAATTACTAACAATAATACAATCTAAACCCTCCTGAAAATCAGGGTTTAAAATACACTGGGGTTTCCCCCAGTGTATTTTAAGCCTGGCGGGCCACCAGGCTTTACTTGTGCCTCCACCGGGCTAATCATTAGTCTTTTTAAAATCTTTGCATTTTTTCATACTTTAGGTATTCATCTTCCAATCTTCCAATTACATATAATTATCAAGTGGTATTTTAAAATTCCTGCCAACTTTAACTTTAAACATTTTTCTTTTTACTCAAAAACACGGCGGCTGCTGGATGAATGACAGTCCTGGCACTAAACTACCAGGCCTGGGAAGTTTTCTGGGGGAAACCTTGTCGTACACTGTCAACAAGTGAAAAAGTTGTGTCATATTTTTTGCACAGCAATAGCAGTAAAAGTCTGCACAGAAACCGGCGAGTGGGCACGCCACCCGTACAGCAACAGAACGTGGACAGACTTCACCAGCTGCAAACCCAATGAAACTAACTGGACGGTAAGAAACACACACACACACACACTTACACAGAGTGAGCTGAGTGTGTCTATGTTAATGTCATCCCACCTTCTTTCAGTCTACAGCAATGACCCACTTCTACTTGATCATGATTGGTCATGGACTGTCGCTCGTATCGCTCCTCGTTTCCTTAGGAATCTTCTTCTATTTCAAGTAAGTTGCCTTCAATCGGGAATAAACTCACTATTGACGATTGGGACAAAATGTGCTTAAAATCTCCTTTCTGGTTTCCTCAGAACTTTGAGCTGCGAGAGGATAACTCTTCACAAAAATCTTTTCCTTTCATTTGTCTTAAACTCAGTGATTACTGTGACATGGTTCTGCATAAATAAGGAGGATTCGCTCAGCAGCCAGGTCGGACGGATTTCTGTCTTACGATCGAACTAAAACGTGTTTTGTTCATTGAAGCGCGGAACGGTAATTGAGTCTCTGGTCTTTTCCTGTACAGGGCAGCTGCAAGATTCTTGCGTTCGTTCAAATGTACATCATGAGCTGCAACTACTTCTGGATGCTGTGTGAGGGCATTTACCTACACACTCTGATTGTCGTGGCGGTGTTTGCCGAGAAACAACATCTCATGTGGTATTATCTTCTCGGATGGGGTTAGTAAAAAAGACCTTTGCTTCAAAAAAATATATACAAATAAAACTGCATGTCAGAGTTGCTAAAGTTCAAATGTCCCACAGGTTTCCCCCTTGTCCCAGCTGTTATATATTCAATCGCACGCACCTGCTACTACAACGACAAGTGAGTGTTTCTGATTCGTGCTTACGCATCAAGTGTTATATATCAAGTGTTTTGTTAACAGGCTGTCTGTTCGCTGAATTTGCAGATGCTGGGTCAGTTCGGCTACGTCCCTGCTGTACATTATCCATGCTCCCATCTGCGCCGCGTTAGTGGTGAGAGTTTTTATTGGATAAGCCAAATGTTTCGGTAAAAGAAGACTTTTTTTTTTTGTTCCTTAATGCCGATTAAGATTTTTTTCTAATGTGTAAAAAGCTTTAAAGATGTAATACGTACCGTTTATTAAGCATATGTGTTTTATATATTTCTTAAAAGTATCACTATGTCATAACAATACAGCAACATTTCCCCCAGAAAACTTCCTAAGCCCAGTAGTTTAGCACTAGGGCAGTCATTCATCCAGTGGCCTGTCGTGTCTTTGAGTTGAAATTTGAAAACATCACTTCATAATTATGAACACCAAGTATAAAGTCTTAAAAAATGCAAACATTTTAAAAGTACTTAATTACATCAGTAATGCTTAGCCTGGTGAGGGAACAAGTAAAGTCTGGTGGCCCGCCAGGCTTATAATATACTGGGGGAAACCCTGTACAGTATGAGACAGATAATCTCATAGTACCACACAGAAAATACTGTAGCACTTCTTGTGTGGTACTAAAAAGTGCTACAATAACTTAGTTCAACAGTTTTCTGTACAAACAATAGTGTGCCTTTGGTTTTTTTTAAATAAATCCCTCAAAACCACAATATTAGGATTGGGGTTGGGATCAATCGCCCTGGCCCTTGTAGGTTCAGATTTTTTTTTAACCATTAATAATAAGCTCCTTCATTTCAAAAATGTATTTTGTGTTTACTTGACTAAGATTTAAAGTAGTTTGATATTCTGAAACAAACGTGTGACAAACATAAAAAAAGCAGGAAATCATGAAACGCACCACTCTACTATTGTGATAGTCTAACCTGGCAGGTATTTGAAGCTAAAATCCGTCTCTCTGTTACGCTCTTGATCCGTTTCTAATGTTGTATGTGAATTTCCTCGTTGACAGGTGAATTTCTTCTTCCTTCTGAACATCATTCGGGTCATCATCACCAAACTGCGCGTCACGCATCAGGCTGAATCCAGCCTGTACATGAGGGCGGTGAGAGCCACCCTCATCCTCATCCCCCTGCTGGGCATCCAGTACGTCCTGCTGGCATACAAGCCCCATGACCACTGGATCTCAGAGATTTACTTATACATCATGAACATCCTCATGCATTATCAGGTCAGCGCCGAAAGAACGCACTAGTTTGTTTTACACCTTATTTCATGAAGTATGACTTGATATCATCTAGTCTTATTTTAATCTAATCTTTCGATTGACATTTAGGGTCTCTTGGTTTCTACGATATTCTGCTTCTTCAACGGGGAAGTGAGTAGTGGCCTTAACTCCAAAACATACTCTCTATTTACTATGTTTTTGTTTTTCCAGTTTATGCTCTACAATTATTTCAGTTCTAATTAAGCCTAACCAAATCCACTCTGCAAGACTTTTAAAATCTTAAATAGCCTACTGTTATTATGCAGGTTTTAAGTTCGGCTGAAAAAAGTAAAGTTTCATAATAATTTCTGATGCTTGGAGAAGATGGCTCTCCAGTTATTTCAACTGTATTCATTTTTCTAACTGTCTGTTTTTCTTTCTTTGCTTTTTTCTTTCTGACATTTTCAATTTCAAGTCACTGTCAATTCAATGTCATTACAGTGACTGCATGCTAGCTGTCACTTTCTCACACACACAGCCCTACCTCGTACACAGAACATTTTGGCTACTTCATACCTCAGTAGCTGATCCGGCCTCGTGTCTCTTTCCTTCATCTTTCTCCTGCGATGAATCTTCCTCGATATCTAATTCATCTTCCTTCTCCCATCGTGGACCTGCTAGCAATTGAAAACGCATCAGTAAGCATGGCACGTTCTGCAGGCTTTTTAGTTGAGATCAATCAGGTTTTTACTGGAAATGGTAAGAGACTTACTATGATCATTTGCTGATGTCAAAATCGTGATGCAGGGAGGCGTCGCCGTTTGAGAGGGTTCTTGTCACTTTGGTTGGTTAAGACTGGACTCTGTGAAGCTGAAGATTCTGGATCACAACCATGAAATACACAAAAAGTTTTACAAGACTGGCAAACTTATTTAAATAAAATTACAAAAAAAATTACAAAACATAAACATAAAAATTTCATATTTATTTATTGACATTATCAATGTGTCTTCATAAATAAAACCCAAAAGGGGGTGCACCCTGTTAACCCCAGTTCTAAACCATGACAGAAAAACTGAAATTCAACTTTCAATTTCTATTAATCCATAAATTAGCTTTTTGTAGACAGCTTCTTCTTCTTTGACATCAATTTATGAACTTACTCATATTTGGGTGATTCTTTTTTTGCGGCAACATTTCGGCCTCAGGATTTTTGAAAAAAAAAAGTATTTTGTTACAACACAACAACAGATGAGTCAGTCAGCAGTAGCTCTAACTCAGCAGTCAGCAGGTGTTTAATGAGCTAATAGCAGCGGTAGCTAATCTACCACATTGATCACTTATTAATAATCGCAAAATAAACATTATGGCTTGATGTTTATTTTGTCCATTACATTGGACTGAATATTCAGGGGGGTTTTTTTGTGGGGATATTATTAGTACTATTATTATTACTATTATTAACAAACAATAGCAATAATAAGAATTTTAAAAACATTATTATATTATTATTGCTATTGTTTTTTAAATTATAATAACTTTGTTATAATTCAATATTATTATTGCTATTGTTTTTAATAATAATAGTACCATTATTATTATTATTATTATTATTATTATTATTAAAAACAATAGCAATAATAATTATTATTATTGCTATTGTTTTTAATAATAATAAAGGTACTATTATTATTAAAAACAATAACAATAATAACAATATTAAACAATAACTTTCTGTTATTATTATTACTATCGTTATCAATAGTAATAATGATAATCAATATAATAAATAATAAATATTATTTTTATTTGATAATAGTTATTATTTATTATATTAACATAACTAATCTATTAATATTCATATTAGTATTGTTATTATTACAATTAACTATAATAATTATTATAAACAAGTTAGCATTTTCTTGTATCATCCAACTATTATCTAATGTGCACAACATCTTTTTGTACTGTGGGAAGAAGCCGGAGCACCCGGAGAGAACCCACTCATGCACATGGAGAACAAGCAAACCCCATGCATAAAGAATCCAGGCTGGGATTCAAACCCAAGACTTTACTGCTGCAAGGCAACAGTGCTATCAACTGTGCAGCCCTGATGTTTTATTTTTGATATTTTATTGACACCTAAGGAGAATTTAGAGTTTAGAATTTAGAGTCATGAATTCAGACTGTGGCCAGGAAGCCGGAGCATCAGAGAACAAAGGAGATGATTGTTGATTTCAGGACAAACAGGAGGATTAAATCAAACCCCATTTCCATCATGGGAGAAGAAGTGGAGGTGGTTGAAGAATATAAACACTTCAGTGTTCATCTGGACAACAGACTGGACTGAGACACAACAGTGAAGCGTCAGTGGACAGCTCCGCACCTCTCCTCACCCGAGTGTCCAAGACATACGGCCACAGATCCGATGAAACGATGACAAAGTCGATCATCGAACTGTGGCCTAGGGTGTCCCAGTGCCAAGTGCACATATGGACACCCTTATGCCTGAACATAGTGTCCGTTATGGACAGTCCATGACGAGCACAGAAGTCCAACGACAGAGCACAACTCGTTCCGTTCCTCCCAACCACACCCCTCCAGGTCTTACTGTCATTGCCCACGTGAGCATCGAAGCTCCCCCAGCAGAACAAGGGAGTCCCCAGGAGGGGCACTATCCGGTACCCCCTCCAAGGACTCCAAGAAGGGTAGGTAATCTGAACTGCTGTTCGGCCCGTCAGCACAAACAGTCAGAACCCATCCCCCCACCCGTAATGGAGGGAGGCTACCCTCTTGTAAACCCCAACGTACAGGCGCCGAGACAGGGGGGGCAACAAAGTATGCCCACTCTTGCCTGGCGCCTCTCATCATGGGCAACTCCAGAGTGGAAGTATGTCCAGCCCCTGAGTCTTCCCCGGGGAAGACCCAGGACACGCTGGACTATGTCTCTCGGCCGGCCTGTGAACACCTTGGGATTCCCCCAGAGGACATGGTACAAGTTGCTGGGGAGAGGGAAGTCTGGACCTCCCTTCTTAAGCTGCTACCCCTGTCAGTCAAGAAGGTGGACAGCAAGAATTGCAAGTTCGACGTTTGGGTGGATATTTGCCCTTTTCGGCATTACATCTCTTCTCTTCACTTCCGTTTTCTTCTATGACGGACTCTCCCAGGGTAAAGTCTTCAGACAGATCCGTCTGTAATGAGTCTTCAGACGGATCTTTTTGAAGACTCATTTCAGATTTATCTGTCTGAAGACTCACACAATACCCTGCTGAATCATAATAATAAACTCCCCAAGATGAGGAAGTTTGCTTTTTTGAAAGACTGTAGATATTGGTCCCTTCTGCAGTGTTCGATCCAGGGATATTGTCTTCCAACGCCTTTTTACGGTCTGAAAACTCAGAGCAAACTTCCCCATCCGGGGAGTTTTGCCTGGCCAGTGTGTTTTTGAAGTTTGAAGTTTGCTTCCTACTCTTGGAAGGATTGAAAAGATATTCATCAAAAATATCATATTCTGTGTCAGGGCACTCGTCTTGAGAGATCCGTTTCTTGTCAGAGTACACTTCCCCAGCCGGGGAAGGAAGGAAAAGGTGCGAATCAAATTCATCATACTCGATCTCGTCCTTGTGACTATTAATGTCAAAAGTAATTCCAGGGAGTACTTTGTTTAACACTTTCCTCACTCGGGTGGTTATCAGATAGCCGGTGGCAAACGTCAGAGGAAAAAACATTGTGGCTGCAATTTCTGCCATTCTTAAAGTTCTTGAAAAGTGGTAATTTAGTGGTAATTGTCCAAGAGCTACTTACTTGTATATAACGTCCTGTTTTGAGATGCAAGCATTTAGAACTTCACATGTTCTTTGATCTATGACATAGATCTATGTCATAGATGAGGTCATAGCTACAATGAGTCTCTGTAGTTCTGGGGCAATGTCTTGCTTCTGATCGTTGCTAGGGAAATGGTCAGATCAGTTCTGCATGACTTAAACTATTAACCCTTTGCAACTGCGTCACTTAATCATTCGAGGCACCATGACAGACTTCAGAAGGGAATATTTCAGAAGTCTAGGGATTAAAACAGGAATTTTAATGGTTAAATATTAAGTTTAGAATGACAATGGTATATTAATACCATTAATTTAAGTAGGATTTTTCATCATTCTATCAAGTTTAAAATTTTGAATCATACTTGACTTAAAATATCTTAAAAGTAAACTAACATTTAACTTAAAAACATTTGCTACTGTTGTAAAATGTGACAAGAAATTTTGCTTGATTGGAGAAGTGCTACAAATAAATAATTTTGGTTTAATAATTTTACACGTTAGCATAAAAATAGAATGAAGAATGATTCCAAAGAAATGGTGCTGCCGCTCCATATTTGATGGGTTGTAAACAACCCACTTGAACACATTTGTTCTCAAAGGGCCATGAAACCAGGTGGCTGAGCCTCCTGGCAAAGTCACACTGGACGAAAAGTGGGATTTTTGACCCTGTATTCTGACGCAAACTCAGCTCGTCAGCGACAAATATCTACAGCAATCGACAGTCTACGTTTTCCCTCACGGGAGTCGAATTCTGTCGAATGCGGAATCCTTGGCGGGGGGGAGCAGGCTGGCGGCAGGTGTTAATGACTCTACTTAGCATACGAATAGCCTAGCATATGCAAAGGCACTTCAACAGACCCACGTGGATTCTCAGTAATTGGATGAAAGACAATGACATCACAGCTCATCAGTGACATGTGATTGGTTGGTTGATGTGTGCCCATTGGACAGCACTTACATCTTTACAAATAAACCCCGCCCCAATCATTAATATTTTTAATGCTGCATTTTAAAAAATCTATATAAAAATAAATGCTGTATTAAAACATATTCATTTGATATTGCTTATATGCAACATGTTCATATATGAGGAACATAAAAGAGACAAATAAGTTTTTTTTTTCTTTATTTTTTTTTATTTTTTTACTGTTTGCACACAAAATAAGACATAAATGCTTGTCAATTTCTGGACCATCTGGCAGAGTTTTTTGTCCAAACATGATCAAACATTATGCTGCATTCAGGACAGGCCCAACATCTCTCCTGTAGCATAGACCTGACGTCTCTTCCTGTCTTGTAGTCCTGATGTCACTGAGCTCCTGGATGGAGGAACTTGGGGTCCATCCTGACACCGCCTCATAGCTGCCATCCTCCCAGAATGCCACGTCCTCTGCTGCCAGTACTCTCTGCCTTCCTCCATCAGCTGTTAATACAGAACAGACAATAATTACGAGCTACCGGCATCTTTTTGTCATTATGAAACTACAGTGAAAATGTTTGGCAACTTCCAGCTTAGTATGCGCACATAAGACATTAAAACAAACAAACAAACAAAAAAAAACATTATATTAATACATTCTTACAAAAATAAAAACTTTAACGAAAAAGAGAAAACACTTGGAAACAATTGGAAGAAAAAAATAATTAAAAGCAGTTGGTAATAAATAGTAAAACATAATTCAACAAACTCTGAGGCAGATGAATTGCCTTGATTGATTTTAATAAATCACAGTATTTTAATCATTCAAGGAATTGACATCTCTATATTAGTAATAAATCTTACCTGCTTCTTTCTTTAGCTACATCTGGATGACTGGCAGTAGGTCCTGGATGCAGCTGGAAAACATTTTTGTGCATTGTCAATACATAGCATAATTACATTATGTACATAAACAATATTGAAGCATAAAATATCAACATTCTAAAATAGTAGATACTCACACACAGTTGCATCTCTGTCCTCGTCATGGACATCAGGACGTTCCTGAAGATTCTGATTGACACAAATGTGACTCCCATTCTGTGGAGTCTGTGGAAATAAATGTAAAATTAAAAAAATATTGTAGCAAATATATTGCTTTCTCAAAAATACATAAGTGAATAAGTTAAAATTATTCTCAACCAACCACTATACAGTCGGGAATCAATGCAGTGACTGTACATAATACATACCGGCTTCATGGCTCCGTCCTTATATCCGTCCTCCGTCCGCCATGTTGTCTATCTCTACTACTTTCCACACTCTGCCTTGCTGTACTGCGTTATAACAACATAAATAAAATAACGGGAAGATCAGTTTTCCTTACAAAACGGTGATTCTTTTTTGCGGCAACATTTCGGCCTCAGGATTTTTGAAAAAAAAAAAAAGTATTAATGTTTTAAGTTTTAAATATTTTGTTGCAGCACTGACATGTTTAACAAATAATGACTTTTTCTTAAAAAGACTGTGTCCCTTTTACTATATAATATGTTTTATTCTTGAAATTGTAACACATCATCAAGTTACAAATCATTTATGTCTGTATTGTAAAGAAAAAACTGTTTTTTTTACCCATTATTACTGACAGCATTGAAAATATTGGTAATTTAAAAAATTTATACCAATATTTGCATTTATTGGTCTTCAACTCCCAACATGGCACAGAAAATTTCACAGTACTTAATGTTTCTGTAACAATATTTCATAAAAACATGTGTGGAATGGAACATCACACCCTGTTATTGTCCCATAACAGGGTGGAAAATCAATGTCTTTGATTCTAAAATCTGACGATTTTCATTATTAGTTGCAGGATTTGCTCTTTCAAGTCAAAGTATTGGTAGAATATTTGTCCTGGCTCTATTTGGCAAAAACAGGTGACATCCCTGTAGTGGATTTTCCCATGACAGGTACTCATTGTTCCCCTCACAGGAGTCAA